ACTCAGCATCAGAGCCCACGGAAAGCGTTGGCTCAGGGCTGGCACCACCTTCCCCATGGGCACCCGGAGCTGGTGGGGGCCCATCCCTGTGGGATGCAGCACCGGGGGGTGAGAGCAAGGGGAAGGCTCAGGGAGATGAAACCTCCTCCATCCATCCTGGCAGTGGCTCCTGCCACTCCTGTCACCGCCGTGTCACCCTGCCAGGGCGAACTGCAGGACCTGCTGCTCCCTCAGCTCCCTCAGCCCCTCATCACGTTCCCAGTGCTGTTTTCCCAGGGCTGCAGCCTCTGGCAGGGTTTCCCCACGGTGTCCGGGTGGCTGCAGTGACATGGAACAAAGCTGCTCAGGACCCCTGGGAGGAAGGCACAGCCTGGTGGGCACAGCCCCCACGAGCTGATTCCTCGCTCCATGATGATCTTCCTTCCCTGAAGGACAGCCAAGTGGGAATCCTTTTTTTCTCCCTCCCAGCAGCTGTTTTGCACTGTCAGTACAGCCCCACCCTCAGCAGGGTGTCCAGGCCAGTCCCCAAACTTCCGAGGGAGCCAGAGCAGGACCCTCTGCAGCCAGGGGCCGGTTTTCCCTGGAAAAGCTCAGCCAGTGAGCCAAGAATTCCAAAACCCCTGGCTGCGGTGCAGAGGAGGTCCCGTGGGGGTCTCAGAGCGCTCCTGCCATGGGGCACAGAGGTGATGTTATATCAGTGATATCAGCACTCAGGCTCTGCCCAGCCCCAAAGCTCTGCTGCTTATCTGGCATTTTCCAGCCCCAGCAAGGCCCTGGCAGTGGCCCAAGGAGCGAGGAGAGGAAAAGCAGCTGGGGCAGATTGCTGAGCCCTCCAGGGCTGAATCTCTCCCGCGCTCTCCTCGAGCTGCTGGGATTGCCCCAAAATCTCCAGGGATTTCGAATTCCCAAAGGCACTCGGTGGGAGCCGCCTCTGCCACCGGGGACTGTGGTTTTTTCCCTTGGATCGATACAAGTTTCCCTCCCAGGAGCCAGAAACTCTCAAATCGTTACTTTAACCAGGCTCTCAGCCGGGGAACCTGGCAGAGGGCGAATTTAAGGTGCAGCCATAGGGAAAAGCTCCCAAAACCGCTGGAGAAGCCAAGGAGGAGCCGAGGATCTCCGGGAGGCTGCGGGGGCGGCACGGGGTGTGCGGTGCCAACCCCGCACCCGGCACCCCCCGATCCTCTTCATCGTCCCCTGAACCCCCCAAAAAGGAGGACCCCCAAGAACTCCCCAAAAAGGAGGAGCCCCAAGAACCCCCCAAAAAGCCGCCGGTGCTCGGCGCTGCCCCACGCCGGGGTTGGTGCCTCTAGAGGGAGCTGAACCCTGCGCGGCTCTATCTATGGTCAGCGCGCTTGGGTTTCTGCTTTCTGCTTGATTTTTTTTTTTTTCCCCCTCCTTTTCTTTTTCCCTCCTCCTCCTTCTCCTCGCGCTTCCTTTGGCCGCGCCGCGCTGCGGGCGGGACGCAGGAAGGGAGCGGCCGGAGGGATGGAGCGGATCCCGGCAGGGATGCGGTAGCTCCCGGGATATCCCGACCCGCTGCACCCCGCCGGGACGCGGTGAGTGCCGAGGGCAGCCCCGTTTCTTCCCCCTGCCCGGACTCTCCTGGGATGGGTTATCCCTGTTTTCCGGGACTCTCCTGGGATGGGTTATCCCTGTTTTCCGGGACTCTCCTGGGATGGGTTATCCCTGTTTTCCGGGCCGGGATGGGCAGGGACGGAGCGGCAGCCGCGGGGTGCGGGGGTCCGGGGGTGCGGGAGGGGTGACAGGGACAAAGTGCGCCCTGGCTCCTCAGGGGACGCGTTTGGGTGCGGGAAACTCCCGGGCCAGGGCTGGAGGTGCCGCTCCGGGCGGTCGCTGCCCCAAAAAGGGAATTTACCCGCCCCAAAAAGGGAATTTCCCCTCTTTTAACCGTATTTTCTTCAGCCGGGCTTTTTACGCCGCGGTGGTGACAGTGCCCGCGCAAGGCCCGGAGTGCTCAGGGGAGGGGACATCGGTGGGCAGAGCTGTCCCCGCTGGGGAACGGGTGACACCCGTGCCGCCACTCCCGGGCTGTGACCGGGCACGGGCACGGCGCGTGTGGCTGCGCTGGCCCCGCCGGGGACCGCGGCCACGGGCGCGGCTTGGGGGGCGACCTGGGCTGGGTGGATGCTGGGGGTCGTGTGCCCACCCTGGGGCCCTGCTGGGTGGGCAAACCCCCAACTGGGCAACCCCCAAACTGGGCAACCCCTGAACTGGGCAACCCCTGAACTGGGCAACCCCCAACACGAGCACCCACCGAACTGGGCAACCCCTGAACTGGGCAAACCTCGAACTAGGCAACCCCCAAAATGAGCACCCACCGAACTGGGCAACCCCTGAACTGGGCAACCCCCAAACTGGGCACCCACCGAACTGGGCACCCCCCAAACTGTGCAACCCCCAAACTGGTCACCCACCGAACTGGGCACCCACCGAACTGGGCACCCCCCAAACTGTGCAACCCCCAAACTGTGCAACCCCTGAACTGGGCACCCCCCAAACTGTGCAACCCCTGAACTGGGCACCCACCGAACTGGGCACCCCCCAAACTGTGCAACCCCCAAACTGTGCAACCCCCAAACTGGTCACCCACCGAACTGGGCACCCCCCAAACTGGTCCTGGCCCCGCTGGCCGCGCGGGTTTGGGGTCAGGGATCCTGTCGGATCTCTGGCCCGGGAGGAATCGCTGCCAAAGGCTCGTCCCAGGGGATGCCCCATCGATTTCCTGGCATTCACAACATGTCAGGGGGTGATTCCAGAGCCCGTGGCCGGGATATGGGATTGCAGCTGCTTTTAACCCCTTGCAGCCTCCTCCAGGACCCTCGTAGGGTGGATGAGACCGTGCAGTTCCCCTGAGCCCTGACTCAAATCTTGGAGGGTTTTCATTTCCTGCAGCCCCGGGCTGTCTCTGGGTGTTCGGGTGTCACCTCCTCCTTCACACCCTTCCCTGTTCCTGTAACAAAGGTGGAATGGGGAAGATGGGAAGCAGGAGGAGCACGAGCAGCAGCTCTGGAACGCAGGGAGGATGGTCCGAGGCACTCTGAGCCCTGCAGAGAAAGGGAGATTTTGGGAGAATGGGCACTTGGGGACGGCAGAGGGTGGGGACAGCAGTGATAGGGCTGCAGCGTCATGTGTCACCGTGAAGATGGTGAAAACAGCGCTGCCAGGCCGCAGAAGGAAACCGAAAACAAAAGTTCCCGCAGGGTTCAAAACGAAATTCAAGTGGAAAATCATGAGTCATCTTCCTCTGGGTTTCTGTGCTACCAAGTCCTTGCTCCTGATGGCTCTCACTCACAGGCCGAGCTGGAAAAGCTCCAGAGGCTCCTGAGCTCTTTGCTGGGTGCACCCACACCCTGCCCAGCATCCTGTGCCACCTGAGCAGTGGCACCGTGGGGTACAGAGGAAATCCCCACTGTTTCCACAGCTCCAAGGAGCTGCTCCCAGCTTGGGAACGGCTCTGAGTCCTCCCAGTGCAGGTGGGCTCAGGCATGGCCTGGGATGGGCAGAGGATGAAGCACAGGAGGCTCCTCAGTGGAGGAGGGGATGGACACCATCCAAGGGATGGACACCATCCAAGGGATCTGCACCATCCCAGGGATCGGAACCATCCCAGGGGATCTGCACCATCCCAGGGGATTGGAACCATCCCAGGGATCGGAACCATCCCAGGGATCTGCACCATCCCAGGGGATTGGAACCATCCCAGGGGATCTGCACCATCCCAGGGGATCTGCACCATCCCAGGGGATCTGCACCATCCCAGGGATCTGCACCATCCCAGGGGATCTGCACCATCCCAGGGGATCTGCACCATCCCAGGGGATCGGAACCATCCCAGAGGATCTGCATCACCCCAGGACAGGGAATTCTGTGATTCTGAGAGCCAGGAGAGGCAGCTCTGGAGCTGATCTGGGCAAGTGGCCAGCAGCTCTCCCCAGGGATTTGCCCCTGGCCCCAGCTGATGATCCTCACTGCGTTCTCAGCTCTTCCTTGGATGGGGGTGTTTGAGTTTGGGGAGGAAGGGGGAAATCCTGTCCTCCCATCCTCGGAGTGTAGGAAAAACCAGCATTTCCATCCTGGTCAGCAGGCTCAGGCCCTGAGTTCAGCTGTGCAGGACCTCGTGGTTTTCCAAGCTTTGCACTTCCAGGTCCCATCCCTTGGAAAATGGGCTGTACTTCCTGTCTCCCATTTCTTTTCCTTCTGAGCAATCTCCAGTGTGATGCCACGAGCTTGAACCACCTTGTGCACTTCTCTCATACCCATGGGTGGTTATTTATCCCTAGCCCAGCTCTTCCTTTATTTTTGCCCAGGATGCAATTTAAATTTCGGGGTGTCAGGAATTGTGTTTCATCTGTGAGTTCAGGCTTGGTGCAAATCAGGAAAGGCCCCAGCTCAGCCCTGCTGAAGTGTGGGCTGGGAATGTGCTCTGGAATGTCAGACAGCAGCCAGGAGCTGCCCTGATCCCGTTAATCCTGACAGGAACTTTGTGGCCTCAAGGAGCTCTGATGAGCCCTGAACTGCAGGTTTAGGATACCTATGAGCTTCAGGGAAAAGATGAGCTTTGTGTTTTGTTCTCATTTAATTTTCTTATTTTCTGAGAGGGGAAATGTAAAGAACAAGGGGAGTCAGAGGAAACGAGTGCTGGAGAAAATCAGGGCTCATCTCGTGTGGTCGCAGCCGGGGAGTCCCGGAGTGCTGGAATTTTTGTTACAGCTTTTTATGAACCTCTGTGGTCTGGGCTGAGGAGAAGCTGGTGCAGCCCACGGGTCTCTTCGAAGCAGGAAGGAAGTCTGTTAGCATGAGTGTGAGATGCGAGGTCCTTTCTGTGATGAGATCCTCGGAGAGGGTGAACCCAGCCGGGTGGGAGTGGAGCCGGTGTCCTCACTAGGTAGGGAAGGAGCGTGCCCCGAGGGAGGAGCCAGCCCTGGCAGAGATAAAAGCACAGGGCTCTGATCCTCGGGCTCTGAGGGACCACAGAGCTCCACCACTCACCATCTCCATCACCCTTCCAGGTGAAGCTGCCATTCCCAAAGCTCTCTGCAATGGCCTCGGGGAATGAGGGGGACCCTCCGCAGGATCAGGGGCGCCGGGGGAGCCAAAGGCGCAGGCTCAGCGCAGGTAAAGGGTTCTGGGGTGCTCAGGGGAGGGAGCAGCCTCAAACCTTTGCTTGTTTATTCATTCCCTGGCTGTGTTCCTTTGGCAAGATGGGATTTCCTGTCTCCAGGGCTTTTTGCAAGCCTGGGGTAAGGAGCTGGATTGAACTGGGAGGTGCTCGGTGCTTTTGGGACATGAGTGTCCTGGTCTAGAGGGAGGCGTCCCTGGGTGGAACAGGGTTTGAGGTTCTTTTCCATCCAAAATAATCAAGGATTGTGGGCTTGGCATTGGATGGGCAGCAAGGTGGGATTGAAGCAGGGAGAGAGAACAAAGTGCTGGGAGCTGCCTGGTGTCGAGTATTTCCTTCCCTGAGCACGAGAGAGCAGGAGGTGCTCGGGGTTTGAATCACAGAGGAAACCACAGATCTCAGGAAGTCTGGGTGGCTTTGGGGTGACATCAGGTCCCGTGTGCCCTGGCAGGGCAGTGGTGGCGAGCTGGGAGCAGGGTCAGTGTCCCCCTGCGAGCCCAGCCCAGCCCTGCTCCGGTCAGTGGGTGAAACTGGGAATGGGAAAAGCTCTCGGCTCATCCCGGCAGAGGAAAGGTGGGACACGGGGACTCTGGTGCTGCTGGCCAGGCGGGGAGGGCAAACCAGCTGAGTCAGCTCTGTCAACACCCGGAGCTGCTCGGGGCTGGTGGAGCTCAGCCCAGCTCAGGGCTCGGCCCTGCAATGGCATTTCGGCTCTGCTGCTGCCTGGGCTCCTCTCTCAGTGCCAGACCCTGAGGCTGCACCGGAAGGAAAATACCCCGTCCTCGCCATGGCGGAGTCCAGGAGGTACAAAAATCCACAGACAGGAGCAGTTTGCTGATTTCCTGTTGAGGCCAGCGAAAACCAGTGAGAAATCAGTAAGAAATGAGGTGAAAACCAGTGAGAAATCAGTGTGAAAACAAGTCAGAAATCAGTAAGAAATGAGGTGAAAACCAGTAAGAAATCAGTAAAAAATGATGTGAAAATCAGTGAGAAATCAGTGTGAAAACAAATAAGAAATCAGTAAGAAATGAGGTAAAAACCAGTAAGAAATCAGTAAGAAATTAGGTGAAAACCAGTAAGAAATTGGTGTGAAAACCAGTAAGAAATGAGTAAGAAATGAGGTGAAAGCCAATAAGAAATCAGGCCCTGAGCTCTGAACATGCTGGGTCACAGTCCCAGGTCCTGTTTTCTCAGACTCATACTGGCAGCCCCAGCATTCCCGTGCTTCCCAAAATTCAGGGTGGGTCAGGAGGAATTGCCCCTCTGGAATTTGGAGGGGCAGAAGCCCGGTGGGCCCCAGCGGGAGGAGGGACATGCACTGTGAGACCGAGGGCTGGAAAGAGGCTTTGTCCCAGGGGCTGAGCCTGGATTTCATCTGGGACTCTGCTTCCCTGCCTTTGGATGCAGCAGAGATTTCTCTCCTGCTCAGGGATTTGCTTGGGCATCGTTGGGATCAAACCCAAACCCAGCTGCCCATCCCACACTCAAATTGCAGCTGCAGTGAGGTGGAGCTGGGCTTCCCTGGGGGCAGAAATCTCCAGAGGCTGCTTCTGCTTCCTGGGGCTGTCTTCTTTTTCCAGGCTGGAATGTCCCAGTCTGCTGGGCTCCGAGGGATGGGGCCAGGTTTCAGCAGTCCCTGTCACTGCCTGGAGTGGTTTTTTGGGGCTGACGGAGATTTTTGGCCAGAGCTGCCAGTTTTTCCCCACAGCACGGCTGCTCCTGGGAGATGGGAGCAGTGAGAAATGAAGGATCTCGGGGAGAAATGCAAGTGTTGAAGGTTTGGGGCTCTCTGGATCCGGGCAGTGCTGTGGATGCAGGGTGTGGATCCCAAAGCTGAGTGAGCTGGGGGTGGAGGGAGCAGCCACGGAGCAAACATGGAGCAGTTCCTTCCTTCCAGAGATCCCTGAGCAGCTCCAAACCTCCCGTTGGCACTGCTGCCACTGGGAACCCACCAAGCAAACCCTGACCCAAATCCCTTGGGAGGGAGAGATTCCAAGCCAATCCCAGTGGGGGTGGCAGCCGTGGGAAGGGGGGATGTGTCCTCCTGTTGTGGTGTTACTAAAAACAGCTCCAGGGATTATTTTAGGGCAGAGATTTCCTCTTGTGTCTGGCTGAGTGTTTGCCCTCCTCTCCCTGAAACTCTGACTCAGTTGATTTCGTTTTCTGATTCTGTCTGGAGTGTCACCAACTCCAGTTCCTGGAAGGTGAAGGATTTGTTTGTCACCAAACAAACCCGTGTCTGAAAACAGAAAGCAACCCCTGGAAAGTGACAGCAGCTTTCCCTTCAGCTCTGCTGGTGAAACCTGAGCTCAGCAGATCCAGGACAGGGAGGTGGGAGCAGCTGGAAAAGCCCGTGAGGAGGATTTGGTGTGATCTGGGGGCTTGGGGATGGGGTCTGTGGGGCAGCACTGCCAGCACAGCTGTGCCCTCACTTCCCAGCAGGAAGATCTCAGGTTGGAAATGCAGATTCTGGAGAGCTGCGTGGCCAAGTCTTCATTTCTGGGATGGTGGGACAGGTTTGGCTGCTGTGGAGCTGCTGAATGCTGAGGACAGGGTGGTCCCCCAAACCCACAGTCCTGCAGGACCCCCACTCCTGCCCCTCCTGTACCTGGGCAGTGGCTGGGTGCTCTGTGAGAGGAGCTGAGCTCTCATCCTGCCCCTCTGCTCCTGATCCCAACAAAATTTTATCTTGGGAAAGAAACGGGGAAGAGCGATGCTCCTGGTCCCTGTGGGAGCCACTGGCCCTCTCCAGGTGCTTCTGGAGCTGCTGAAACCGAGCTCTAATCCAGGACATCCGTGGGGACTTGCCCTGGAGCCACGGAATGTGTGAAGAGGGATGACACTGAGGGGTTCCTGCTGCAGGGAGCTGGTCCTGGCCGTGTCCCTGAGCAGTGTGGGGACAGGGACACGTGTGTGGGTCTGGAGAAGGTTCTGTGGGGACGTGTGTGGGTCTGGAGATGGTTCTGTGGGTTTGGAGATGTTTATGAGGGGACAGGGCCGCATGTGTGGGTCTGGAGAGCATTTTGTGGGGACACGTGTGGCTCTGCAGAAGGTTGTGTGGGAACAGGGCCGAGTGTAGGTCTGGAGATGGTTCTGTGGGTGTAGGGACACCTGTGTGGGTCTGGAGAAGGTTATATGGAGACAAGGACAAGTGTGTGAGTCTGGGGAGGGTTGTGAGGGTTTGGAGATGTTTATGTGGGCACAGGGACATGTGTGGGTCTGGAGAGGGTTATGAGGGTACAGAGACACATGTGTGGGTCTGGAGAAGGTTTTGTGAAGACAAGGACCAATGTGTGGGTCTGGAGAGGGTTGTGTGGGAACAGGAACATTTGTTTAGGTCTGGAGATGGTTCTATGGGTGCAGAGACACGTG